AAGACAAGTATGTATACTGTATATATCTAGCTAGACAAGTATGTATAATGTATATATCTAGCTAGACAAGTATGTATACTGTATATATCTAGCTAGACAAGTATGCTAGACAAGTATGTATAATATACTATATATATACTGAAGGTGGTAATATCTCCACTGTAAGCTAGAATTACTCAAATAACAATCTAGATAAACCTTGAGGCTAAAACTCTCAGTTAGGAGTGATGAACCCCCCTTCCACCTCCCCTCCTTCTCTAGCTCGTCTAATTCTTCACTAGATAACCCTCTCTGGGGAGGAAGGGAGGGAGGGGGAGGGGGTGCGAGAATTAACTCTACCTGTAAGATTTTGTAAAAAACAGTCAATTTTTTATCTCCAATCTTTTTATCTGTCCGCGGAAACGGTATACGAGTGAGACATCAAGACAACGGGTTTCAGAAACCCGAAATATTTCACAGGAATTTTGTCCGGAAAAATAGAGTCGTCTGGCGGCCCAGAGCGGCGGAATTTTTACAAACGTGCAAAAATGCTGCGGGATCTTTTTTACAACTTGACTGCAGTTGATTTTATTATCTCACAGGGTTGAAGAAATTTAAGTTCTTAATTAGGTAGCGCTTCGCGTCCCCCTTGAGTATTAAAATTTGGCTGTAGAAATATCAATAATTTATGGCTATATCAAGGGGGGGGAGGGGCTGAGAAATGATCCAAAGTTTTGATTATTAAAATGTTAAAACAAAATCAAGCTTGGTCATGACTTTTTAATTTACTTTTAGAAAGATAATTGGATAGATAGATAGATATATAGATAGATAGATAGATAGATAGATAGATAGATAGATAGATAGATAGATAGATAGATAGATAGATAGATAGATAGATAGATAGATAGATAGATAGATAGATAGATAGATAGATAGATAGATAGATAGATAGATAGATAGATAGATAGATAGATAGATAGATAGATAGATAGATAGATAGATAGATAGATAGATAGATAGATAGATAGATAGATAGATAGATAGATAGATAGATAGATAGATAGATAGATAGATAGATAGATAGATAGATAGATAGATAGATAGATAGATAGATAGATAGATAGATAGATAGATAGATAGATAGATAGATAGATAGATAGATAGATAGATAGATAGATAGATAGATAGATAGATAGATAGATAGATAGATAGATAGATAGATAGATAGATAGATAGATAGATAGATAGATAGATAGATAGATAGATAGATAGATAGATAGATAGATAGATAGATAGATAGATAGATAGATAGATAGATAGATAGATAGATAGATAGATAGATAGATAGATAGATAGATAGATAGATAGATAGATAGATAGATAGATAGATAGATAGATAGATAGATAGATAGATAGATAGATAGATAGATAGATAGATAGATAGATAGATAGATAGATAGATAGATAGATAGATAGATAGATAGATAGATAGATAGATAGATAGATAGATAGATAGATAGATAGATAGATAGATAGATAGATAGATAGATAGATAGATAGATAGATNTATGGATAAATATAGATAGATATACAATTTACTTAGATCTAATTTATTTCTGTTTAGAAACCGTACGTGTGTAAGGCACCTGGCTGTACAAAACGGTACACGGATCCTAGTTCACTTCGTAAACACGTGAAAACTGTACATGGGGCAGACTTCTACGCTTCTAAAAAACATAAAGGTAATTATATAAGTTTAATTTATAAAATTTCATCACGTTTTTTTGTATAATAAATTTAAATTATACAATAAAAATAGTTTATAGTGTATAGTGTGAAGTGGTTTAAGAAAGATATTTTTATTCAAAGAATGAATTTTGATATTTTCTTTATGCGATACTGATGAATCTCAATATTTTTAACCTTTTTATATAATCAAAATATGCAAAAGATGTAGAACACAATTTAAAATAATCTCCCCCCCTTCCCCACGTTTCTGCAATTATATAAAAAATAGTATAAATACTCAATACTAATAACAATTGCTTTTTCTTACAATGCCGTCAAATTTTTATCCTGAAAGAAAATATAGGCAAAAACGAACCAAAACGAATTAAAACGAACCAAAAACGAACTAAAAATGAAAGAGAACGATTTAAACCCCCCCCCCCTTCTTTCAATTTTGTACATGGATATAATTGATCATTTGGCCGCGGCGCTCGGTTTCCTAGTCTGTCTGATAAAAAAAATATTTTTGCTGAAAAATAAGTGGTCATGTACAAAATTGATAGGAGTCGGGGAGGGGGCTCGGGGGGAGGGTCCAAAAATCGTTCTCTAGGACGGACCCAAATGAACCAAAAACGAACCAAAAACGAACCAAAAACGAACCAAAAAACGAACCAACTATAAGCACCATAATACATTATGCAAAACTTTTACTCTGGCCAAAGATATTAATCAAAACGATTTTTCGAAACGATGTGCAAAATGATAAATCATTTTAAAAAATCGTTTTGGTTCATATCTTTGGTCAACGAATTTTGTTCTATAAACCAATGAAAGTAAACCTTTCAAGCATATTATTTAAAACAAGAAAAACACTGCAGATTCTTTTGGGCTATTTTACAGCTAAAATACCTTAAATGTTAAAAACGGTGTCCATCCATACGAGGAAGGGAAGGCAACCTCCCCCGCACAGCTTCCGAACCTCATTTTACCTATTTGCATAATATTTTTTTTTACAATCTGGAAAAACGAAAACTCCTTACCGGCCTTATGATACAAACTTTTCGAGAAAAAATCTTTGCCATGTGATAGATAACTCAGATTTTAATGACATGTATGATGATGTTTCCTATGAGTAGGAGGAGAATTGGATGGAAGGATGGATGACCCTAGGTATAGAGAAGTGGATGGAGCTTGTCATCCGCTCACTCCACTCACTCCAAATAGCAATAATAGTGGCAGCCCTAAAATCAAAACCGAGGTAAGAAACCTAAAAAATATTCAGAGGCGAACTCAGGGGGGGAGGGCAGACTGCTGAGCCTTACCCTTGCAAGGAAAAAAATTTAAGCAAAGATGTAAAAAAAGAATTGATAAAAGGAAAAAGAATAAAATTATGTATGTTTATTATTTACAGCAAAAGAAAATTAGAGTTTAGAAAGTTAATTTTGATGAATTTATTATTTAAGTACAGACTTATTAAATTATGAATTTGAGAATAAATTAACGAAATAATAATGAAAACATAAATATATTTTCAGCTTCCCTTCTCTCCTGGAGAACTATCCAACCCTGATTCTAACCACGCCTACCACCATAGTGGCTCCACCCACCAGCACCACAGGTCCGACCACCTACCCATCTCCGACAACAACGTCACGACTACCAACGACGCCCTGGACGCCGGAGAGTGGGATGTCCATGAGGGAGAAAGTGATATTGATGTAAGTACATGTTAGAAATTATTTTTTTTTAATCTTTTAATAGCTCATTTAATAAAGGAGGTATGATTAAAAACATCTAAAAAATATTTTACTTCAATTTCACGTGTTTTACAGATAGCGGTAGCGGCGGCAATCGGTGTAGGCGGTGACCTCGCTGAAGGAGTTCGAATTTCCCGCCTCGCCCCCCGCCTCCGAGGAAAGGCGGGTATGATGCCTCGGCGGGGGCAAATAGTGGCGGGTATGGGAGAAATAAATAGATCCATAGAGAAGATGTCTCTAGATGAAAGTTACTCTGGAGGTCAGGGAGGTCAGGGGTGTGGAGGCCAGGGAGTCCAGGGGGTCCAGGGAGTCCAACACAAACAAGGACTTCAGGGACCTCATCAAACAACGTTTTTACAAAACAACACAGTGAACAGGTAATATCATAGCTTTCTTTGAGTTTCTAAAAGATATATTTTCATGAAAAGAAAGGGGGGGGGGAAAGGGGGTATTTCGGTGCAATTTATTCCAAAATGTCATTTTTTCCAATTCAGCAAATAAGACAAAAAAAAATATTGCGTCTGAGAGAAGAGGGGTGGGGAGCAATGGTTTTTACTGACCCCTATTTTTAATTAATTTTTATTTTAGACGGGACAGTAACTGGACTGTAAGTACCGAGGGATATGGAAGTATGAGATCAAATACCTCTGTGAGTCGACGGTTTAGCGAAATATCCCAGGTAGACAGAATCCATCTATACATCTAAACAGGGGCATTTCTGATTCACAATGGTATCCATTGAACCTTGATCAATCAACAGTGTTTAATTCTAGCAATTTTCTCTATTTTTTTCTGTAGCATAAATCCACAACTAATTTAAAATAGAGAGAAAACAAAGCTTTTATGAATACATTGGAACTGGACACTGGGACAGTGGGCCAGCGGGAAAGTAGGTCAGTAGGTCAGTACACGTGGATTTAGCGGTTATGTCAATATTCCAAAAAGCTGTGACTTTCGATCACAATTTGACCCATTGAACATAATTTGTAAGCCTTTTTCTTAAATACTTTTTTGTTGGCATATGCATTTTGAATAAAAATGTATAAAATAAACAAATCCGTAAAGTAAATGATTATTGAATTAATGACCAAAACATGTTTGATTTCAAACAGAAGAAACCGAATGCTGCTCAATCTGGTTAGTCCGGTGTGAGTAGGTCAGTTGGTCAGTGGGTCAGTGGGTTATGTTTACTGTCCTTTTAAACCTATCCCGGCTGGGCTTTTATTGTCTAATATTGGGATAGAGAAGTGTGATACATGTCCTTTGTCAAACTTTTCAAGGCCTGCTCATTAAAGAAATATACATTTAACTTTAATGGTTAGGGTGGAAGGAAGGATTCACAAAGTTTACCTTTACTATAACTTAACACATGTTATTTCATCCATTTATCAAGGGCTTTTTAAATATATAAATTTTATTTTTAGCCCTGTACAAAATTTAAACATAAATTATTAAGTATTTCTGAGTTTTTTTGAAACACCAACCCGCCGTTTGACTGTCCTTCACCCTACCCTATGCATAAGAAAAAATTTGTTCACAACTATGATGTTAAAAAAGTTAAAAAGGTTTAGCATTTTAATGTGAGACTTTTTAAGTTATTTAGAAAAAAACAGAGGACTTATAAAGGCTAGGGAGGGGGTGTTTTCACCCCCCTACGATTTTGCCCGTATAGTTGGGATAGGCGAGTGTGATACATGTCCTTAGTCAAACTTTTCAATTATTTTTTAACTTTAATTGTTAGAGTGCAAGTTTAGAAAGTTCAAAAAGTACGTTGGAAAAATGTTCAAAAATCATTTTTTACTTTTATTAACATGTGACACAAGTTATAAGATCCATTTATCAAGGGCTTTTTAAAAAAAATTTATCCCAGTACAAAATTAGAAAAAAAGTTATTAAGCATTTCTGAGTTTTTTGAAACACCAACCTGTTGACCATGCATAAAAAAAATTGTTCACAACTATGATGTTAAAAAAGTGAAAACAATTTTAGCATTCTAATGCGAGACTTTTAAAGTTATTTAGAAAAAAAGGGTGGGGGGTAGAAACATCCCCCTCCCAGCCGCGATAGGGTTAAGGAATAAGAGGTTATTAAGATCAGTGTCCTGATTTTATTCTGACCTAAGAGTGAGTCAAAGAAAATTGGTTTGGTGGCATCTAATCAATTTAGGAAATTTACTTAATATTTTTTTTTAAAAAAGATGTCTGGAGTATCTGGCCGAGCAGGAATGTCCAGTCCATGGGATCCTATCTCCCCTGGCAGCTCAAGGCGGAGCTCGGAGGCGGGTGCCCGCGGGGCGGAGGCGGGTGCCCGTTTGGCGGATTTAAGAGGAGATCATGGTGCCCGTATGTCCCCCGTGATGTCACATCATTTGTCCAAGTTACACAAGAAAGCTTTAGTTGCAGGAACCAACTCCAGTCTGTTACAGGTTTATAAACATTTATTTTATATTTATAAAGTTGTAATCTCGGTTTGTCTGTCTGTCTGCTTGATTGTCCCTGGACCATACCTATGCGCTCGAATTCTGAACGAAAAATCGGCTTTTTCTCCGGTCACAGTTGTCTTTGAAAAGTAAGGCTATTACCAATCAAGAGCGAATAGGCTGTTTAGTTTACCCTGAAATTATCCAAATAAGTGAACGGTCCCTTTAATAGCGAAAATCGTAAAATTGTTAAAGTGCGGGTGGACGGCGGGGGTAACTTTAGTAACCTTGGCAGAGCTGGGTTTCCAAGCTAGAACATATATATTCCGCAGTTTTTTTCATAGTTTTTTAACCTCAGTTATTTATTCAGATCTTTGACAGACTCTGACAATATTTGTATTATTTGAGATTTTATCTACTCTCTCCTTTGAAAGAAAAATGTTATAATTTAGCTAACAACAGTTTCTCTGTATAATTGAACATCCAATTCTCTCACTAATGATCACTATCGGCCTGTCTCAATTACGGCCAATTTTTCTATGCTATTTAATGAGTACTTATCACGACCAAACCAGGGTTTTATATTCCTTGCAAAATTTAGATTTTTTTTCAACTCCAAATCAGAATTTAAAATCTTAATTTTGTTTTTGAAATTTTTTTTGTAAAACCTATTTTTACTTCATTGTTATTTACGATAATTTTCACAGTTAAGACTTAAAACTGTTTTTGCATCTTGCAAAGCAGGCTCCTTTTTAAACAAACCTCATTCTTTGTCGTCTTCTATCTTATATTTTATATTTTGAAATTTCTATTATAAAATGTGTAACTTTTTGTAATATTTTGAAAATATCCGAAAAATATCAGTTACTACAATATGACGACGACTTTTTTCTTGTTTAACGCTGTACAAGATGAATATCATATACATAGATTAATAACAATACAGATAGAATACTAGATGTTGTCTTTTCAAGATTAAAGGGGTTTTCGCTCACAATAACCCAAAGGAGTTACGCGGATGCTCAACGCCTCCTGCGCGTAAGTCCTTAGGGGTTCTGCCTATGGGTTATTGTGAATGAAAAATCCTCTTAAGACGACATCTAGTGTTTTATCTGCATCGCCATTAACCTATGATCAAATTAACAAAAACTGCCTTTAAAAAATAACACTAATTTTATTGGATATTTTCTAAAAGTTTATTTTTATTTCTAGAGTGGAAGTATGGCCGGAGATCTAATGTCGAGTGTCGAAGGATCAAGAGACCTCCTGACCTCCTCACAGGTTGACCCTTCTGACCCTCAGGGCCGACGTATGAGCGACCCAGTGCGACCTCTCGACCGGAACTTTGGTGTTGGTGGTCAACTTTCTCGACATCGTAGCTTTGGTAACCTGGGGGCGGGGGCAGCCGGGGGTCGAACCCCACTTCACAATCAGAGGGTGCGCGGTCAGGAGGGGTTCATGGACCCAGCACAGTTACAGCAGCAGACGGTCAACCAGGTAAATATAATTATAATAAAAACGTCAAAAAACAAGGTTTTAAAGAATGTTTGTAAAATGTCTGGTCCTGGGTTTATTCTTTGTAAAGGAATGCTTGACATCCCGTTGTTATTAACATTAGCTTGGTAAAGTACAGTGAGGAGCAATAAACTGAGAAATAAAAGATTCAATAGAAGATCCAATAGAAGATCCAATAGAAGATCCAATAGAAGATCTGATCTTTATAGAAAGGATAAATGGTTCTCTATGAACTGCACAATTACTGTATTTCATGTTAATTGGACTATTTAAAGTCATAATTTGAGTTTAACAGTCATCATTCTTTTCTAAAATTTATTGGGCCTCACTGTATCTCACTGTATATACAAATGGGAAGGAACAAACATAAGACAGAGAACACAGATAAGAGAACACAGACATCTATGAACTTACGAGAGCTTACGAGCATACCTTGCATATATCTATTATCTAGTCTGTGCAAGAAACTTATGAAATCTTATGACTTTTGAAAACTTTTGACTTATGAAAACTCATGAAAACTTTAACCATATAGCCTATGACCGTGCCTAACAACTTGTATATATATATATGTACATATTTGTTATAACCAGCTTTTATTTTAGGCCATGTATCCTGGTATGCGTATGTATGGTACTGGAATGGGCCCTGGAACTGCTAATGAAATGGGCCCTGGAGCTGCTAACGGTATGGGTCCTGGAGCTGGCATGGCTGGTGGAGCTGGAATGGGAGGAGGTCCAGGGACTACAGGATACTACCCTGGGTTTAACATGCAGGGTTATGATCATCAGCAACAGCAGCAGTACTTCAACAACTATGGATTTAACCAGCAACAGCAATGTGACTTCCAGCAGTTCCAGCAGCAACAGCAGTATCCAGGATGGGAGCAGCAGAACCCACAGCAACAGCAGCAGTCCTGGAACATGGAATGGAGCTGGAACAGGAATCAAGGAGGACAATATCCTAACCAGGACAAGGACAGAAAACCATCAGCAGGACAAACTCCAGCTGCAGGCGGACAAATAGACTCCAGTACAGCTTACCAACGTACTCTGCAGTATGTTAAGAACTGCCAGAGTTGGTCAAGTCCTGAGTATCCTCCACAAGATCAGAAAGACACAAAACTAAAACGGCCTTCGACTGAATCCCAGGCCATGCCGCCTCCTAGCATACCACAAATGCCCTATATTCCGCAGTTTTTTTTTTCATAGTTTTTCAACCTCAGTTATTTATTCAGATCTTTGACAGACTCTGATAATATTTGTAATATTTGTGTTTTATCTACTCTCTCCTTTGAAAGAAAAATGTTATAATTTAGTTAATAACAGTTTCTCTGTATAATTGAACATCCAATTCTCTCACTAATGATCTCAACAATTGGATTGACATCAAATTGGGTTGGGTTGGATCATTACAATTTTACTTTTAAATTCAATTATTTTATGAAGACGAACAAAACTCAGAAAAAATTCAATGAATTCCATTCTTAAGAACAGTGATAACCAGAAAACAATGGAATATGAAGACGACATTTCTAACGTGTATTTGATGATGATACAAAGCAAATTTTTTACTGAACACTTCTTCAATTACTAATTTAATGAAATGGAATTACGTCTGCACTGCACTATTGCTGTGTCTCATGCTTTTTGGACTTTTAAAAGTTATAACTTGATTCTAAAAGTCGTCTTCCTATTCCAAAGTTTTCAGGTTCTCACTGTGCTGATAGTTTTTGAAATTTTTGGCTTTAAAAACTGTACCCTGTATACTATGCACTGTAGACTGTACACTGTACAGTACACTGTTCAATAGGTTTCCATGTATTTTGTCCAAGATGATAAATATCTAAAGTACTGGTTGTTCTTCTGGTTGGTCTTGGGAACCTGCTCTAATGAGATTTAAATAGTAAAGGCGGAGATAACGACATAATTTACACTGTCAGGAGGGAGAAAGGGGGGGAGGAAGG